GGAGGGGGGGGGGGGGGGGGGGGGGGAGCCGTGAAGCGAGCCGTGACTTAGGGAGGGGGGGATGCCGTGAAGCGAGCCTTGACTTAGGGGGGAGGGGGATGCCGTGAAGAGAGCCGTGACTTAGGGAGGGGGATACCGTGAAGAGAGCCATGACTTAGGGAGTGGGAAGCCGTGAAGCGAGCCGTGACTTAGGGAGGGGGGAAGCTGTGAAGAGAGCCGTGTACTTAGGGAAGAGGGGGGGAAGCCGTGGAAGAGAGCCGTGACTTAGGGAGGGGGAAGCTGTGAAGCGAGCCGTGACTTAGGGAAGAAGGGGGGGAAGTCCGTGAAGCGAGCCGTGACTTGAAAGACCCCCATCCGTAATGCTATGAGTCACATTCTTCGAGTCAAGGGCAGTACGAGTTCGAGTACGAGTACGAGTATAAACACGAGTCAGTGCAAATATTCCATACAGAAAGTGGTCATCGTGTCTAGTTCCATAACATCAGCCAATCAAAGGTCGCGGGCCATGGTCGAGAATCTCGCTGCATGATTTGCCCAGGTCAAGACGATTCCGGTACTCAGAATCAGCCCCGGTTTATTTCAACTGAAGCAGGGCGAGACCAGTGGTCATGCATCAGCTGGCCAGCGACGATTGATGAGTCTCTGTGCTGATTCGGAAAAGAAACGTGCAGCGGGCTTAAAGACCCTGTTTTTTCATTCACTTTTCCGCCGAGCGCACATCGGATATCCATAGTGCTTAGGTAAAACATGGCCGTGTTTTCATCGACACCTCCTTGCCGTTGGTCAATCTACGTAAATGCAGTATGTCGACCTCTGTCCGATCTCGCTGGGGTAATTCACCTGCATTTGCACGATTATTTGATGCTAGTATAATAGTTTTTGCAATTGTAATAGTATTAAGTCAATATCAGTACCTAGCGTGATATCATTTCGTTGTAGTGTGTAGGCCTCGTAGAAGCATATGCGCATAAGTATTTTGGTGCATTTTTGTCGGCGCTATGACGTCATACGCATACCAGCGTGACGTCAGACCCCACGAATGGTCTCAGGCTTGCGTGTCTCGCGTCCGCGGGTCAGACACACGTGGCAGTGAGGTGGGGCTGATCGGACGTACCCATGAGCCCCTGGTACCAATTTTGTACGGACATATGAGTGAACATCGTATATTAGAGCCATATGACAGGTGGAAGACTAAACACCCAGCTTTGGTGACGTGCGGAGTGCCAAAAAGAAGCCAAAAGTGCCATGTCTTAAGCCATGAGGACCTATTTCGAGGCTCGTAACCCCGAATATTATTTTGTGTTTTAGAAACATAACATGTGAAAAGGTGTTACCTTACAGAATAAAAGTTGAGAACGGACATGCGAAGCTGAAAATATGACCTTGAACTAGTATTACAGTCAACGTTTTTTCCCAAATTAATCTAGGTGAATTTTGTTTGCCTAGTTTCATGGTTCAGGCCTTCACAATCTCGAAAACAAACGCGTTCTCAACTTGCATGTATTATTATAGGTGTCAAGACGTTAGAGGCACACCAGTGCTAGCTCGAGCTATGAAGATGCCTCGGGCATATCTCGTGACCCGTAACTCAGAGGAAATTTATGTCTTTCAGGTGAATTTTTTGTATGAGATAGCCTCTGGTGCCAAATTTTAGCAAAATCTGCGAGAATACCGTGTGAAGTCGCCCTGCTGGTGCCGCACTGGCTGGGAGACCACGTCGCTCACTGATTATTACGCAACTTAATAATGACAGCGTGTTCAGCATGGTGTGACCAACAACAGCCTACAGTAGAGGACAATATATATATATATATATATATATATATATATATATATATATATATATATATATATTAGGGTGTGTGATTTGTAACAAAACCAAGTAAGACAGAAAAAATTATTTGGCGCAGGAGTCCAAAAGTACACGGCATAGCAAAAGCTCTTCCCAAAAACTTAAATTCGTGACGCGCGAGCCGCTGGAAATATCGGCGTAAACCGACGCCCGGCATTGCAGTCACCCCAAGCTGGGCCGCGTTCACCGCCGAAAGCAACACCAAGCCGTGGGTAGTAAGCGATACAAGATACCTTTGCGCATGGAAACGACGCAACCAAGCGCTCCTTAAACCGTCGTGCGGGAGTGCCACAGTCTGAGGTCTATTATGCGGATCAGGCATTGCCCGATTGATTTCTATATGGCGGAAATGTTATGTGCTGTTGAGTATGAACTCGTTGTATGAGTATGTTGGTTAATATTGCTTTAGACTTTCACTTCTTTAAGACAACTCACCTGATGCAAACAAAAACATGCATAGCATATGACTCAGAAAATGTTGTCTAGTGTACAACTTAATACATATAGCAAGTTCTACTGCCTGTACCACGGTCGTAGAGATGGAGGGAGGGGAGGGGGGGGGGGGGGGAGCGTGGCACCATGCACATCTTGCTCCTTGCCGAGCTTGCTTATTTGATGCACCGACCCAAACAGCAGCTGCTCACAGACTGGAAACCCGAAGCACGTGTTGGTGGAGATCGCACGGTGGCAGAAATACCGTCGCAGCTGGGCTCCACATATTGCCGAAGCTCCAGCTCCAGCCCCAGACGTCCTCGGCAATGCGGCGCTGGTCGCACTTCTAGTGTGAGCCAGATAGGCTGAGATGGCCAGCAGAGCCTGCACGTCGTTCCGCAGTTCGCAGATGCTGAGGTCTCGCAGTGGAGGATGTGTGGCTGGTCGGTGCCAGGGGATCAGTTCAATGTACCTCACGGCCTTAAAGTTTATCGCTGGGATAGGAAAGACCCTGGGCTGAAGAGCACCCTCGGTTTGCTGCTCACGAGCGGAGCGACGATCAGAACCGTCGTGGTGGACCACGCGGTCCTCATCCCACGCCATGTCCAGCAGCAGCTGTTCTGGAAGGGCCCAGTACCCGATGCCCTGGAGAACGGGCTGCGCCACGGTCTATGTGTGCTGCTGCAGCTCGCGGAGCAGCGCAATGCTTCGGAACAAGTTGCGTAGGCCAAAGTCGTAGCTGCTGCTCTGCCGGATGGCGGACCATACCGGCACATAGTGGCCGAGCACGCACCGGACGAGGTCCTTGAGAATGCTGCTAGAGTTATCGGTAGATATGTAAGCTAGGAGCAGGCGAGTGGCCAGTTCAACCATTTGAAACCAAAAGCAAATATATCAGAACAATTTGTTACGAACTATGCATTAGATCATGCACGAATTATTGCTCCTCTTTAGCGTATGCAATTATGCCGATATCCAGAGTCCTTAAATGTGACGGAATGCGTATCAACAACTGTACTAGTAAGCATGAAGCAACGAGCAAATGAAGTGAAAACTACGGCCCGAGGTATGATATTGAGTAAATGCTCAGTAGTGAGCACATGACATACCCATTGATACTTCATGAAGTTGAAACACTGATTGTAATCAATCTTAAGATAATGTGTTGTCACATTTACCTAACATTGTTCGATGGTTCGATTTGGCGCTAGGCTGCCACGTTTCGGACAGAGCCGTTTTGAACGCCGAAGGCCAGAAGATACAGCACCTGCTAATTGGTGTTCAGCTGCTGAATCAGGTCAACCGGCAGGTTTGACATGTGCTCCGGCGTGGGCTTGAATGCCACAAGGTCCCTCTCCCAGACCTCTCCTGCGCAGGTCT